GGAAGGTCTTTTTTTCAAAACGGTCTTTTGCATGATATAGGGGCACATGCGGGAACCACAGAACCATGTTTAATTTTTCCTGAACGGCCCTCTGAATACCAGAAAAGGGGGTCCCTAGTTCGATTCCTCGTGGTGACAAATTTTTGCATTTCGAGTTGACGTGCCAAAATTCGCGCAAAATGGAGTTAGAACCAACCAGAACAATCAGAACTCCATTTTGCGCGAATTTTGGAACGTCAACTCGAAATGCAAAAATTTGTCACCACGAGGAATCGAACTAGGGACCCCCTTTTCTGGTATTCAGAGGGCCGTTCAGGAAAAATTAAACATGGTTCTGTGGTTCCCGCATCTGCCCCTATATCATGCAAAAGACCGTTTTCAAAAAAAGACCTTCCTGGTCAGAAGGTGTAAAAACCTTAGGAAAAAGCGGAAAGAAAACTATCAAAATCGAGAAATACATAGGAACAATTTCAAAGTTCTACAGTTTTGTCAATTTTAAAACTCCCATTCACACTTGAAATTGACTTCAAGCCACAGATCGTGATTAGTTAAGCCCGTCCCTCTTTGAGTGAGAGAGGGGTCCTTAATCAAAGGCCGCAAGATCATCCCGACTCAAAGTGTGCAACAAAGCCGCTACAGTCGTGCCTTGGCCGTTACCAAGTGGCGGCGAAAGCGGCTAGATACAACTTGCACCGAATCAGCGCATATGCGCGAGCTGAGTCGTAGTATAGGCGCTGCATCACAACACGAAACTTCTTGAACCCACAAAAAGGCTCCAATTCTGGGAGAGCTCAATGTGCTTGAAAAAAATTTAGGGGGAAATTTCTGCATCTCTCAGGAAAGAGCGCTAAATTTATATGCTCACAGCCAGTAACGCTTTCATGGAGTTGCGCAGCATCCAAAACGAGCGTCGGGGCGCTGGGGGCATTACTCATCCACCCACACCTAAGACATCTCTGCATGCCCACCGTTGCAACGCGTTGATGTCTGCCTTCCTTCCTATCGCTCTCTTCGCGGTCAATTCTTTCACCTCTGCTCCTCAGTTTTCCTTCGAAGCAACATCTCCAGATCAAATTGGTCGGGTAGCAGTGGCAGATAATGAAATTGTGGATGCCGAGACGAGTGAACATAAAATAAAAACCTTAAACAAAG